TTCAGATGTTAATAACTACAGGCCCATATCTAAATTGTGTGTTCTAGCAAAAGTTCTAGATTCAGAGTTTAGCTGTTCATTAGTGAACAACTGAAAGACTTTTTTGACAAAAATTCAGTTCTTTCCAACATCAGTCAGGATTCAGAAAACAACACAGCACACTAACTGCTGCTATTAAAGTGGTTAATGACATCATTGATTCAATGGACTGCAAACTTCCTCTTTCCTCCCAGTATCCAAAGGAGTTCCGCAGGGCTCCATATTAGGGCCATTGTTCTTTTCTCTTTACATAAACAACCTTTGTGATAATTTGTCAAATGCTGCATTTCATCTTTATGCAGATGATAATATTATCTATTGTTCATCTCCTTCAGTAGCACAAACCCTGCAATTTCTGCAGTCTGCCTTTGATGTTGTTTAGTCCCATTTAACTCAACTTAAGTTGGTGTTAAATCCAGAGAAATCCAAGTTCATTGTTCATCGAATATGCAAAAGATGGAGGATACCTGCCAGGCCTTTCATATTTGGACACAGTTAGTGGAGTCAACCCCATTGTGGAAAAGTTACCCTATGGACTGCATGAAAAATGGATTGCAACAGGAGCAAAGTACAAAGAAGAACATAAAGTTGCTTTCCCCCCTTTCAGTGTCTTTTCAAAGTTTGTAAGACAACAAGCCAAAATAAGAAACGACCCGAGCTTTGTCATCACACGTCCTGCTGACACAAGCTTCAAAAAGGAGGAAAGCTTCAGAGGCAGTAACAGGCAAATGTGTACACAAAACAGACATTCCTACAGACACTAGTTCACTTCAAAATAGTTACAGCAAGCCAATAGAAAGCCCTGACAAGGTATGCCAAATACATAAGAAGCCTCACCCTCTTAAAAAGTGCAAAAGTTTTAGAGCAAAACCCATAGATGAGCGCAAGTCATTTTTAAAAGAGAACAGAATCTGTTTTAAATGCTGTGGCTCTACTCAACATTTAGCAAGGGACTGCAGGGCTCAAATAAAATGCATGGACTGTGGTAGTGACAGGTATTTAGCAGTGCTACATCCAGGTCCACCCCCTGCTCCAGCTGAGAGCTCTGAAGCTGATAAAGATGATGGTGGGGAGACACAGGATAGTGCAAATGCCTCAGTTGTTTCCAAATGCACAGAAGTCTGTGGTGATGCAGATACCCCACATTCATGCTCAAAAATAAGTCCTGTGTTAGTCTATCCAGAAGGCAAAAGAGAACAGGCTAGAAAGATGTATGCAGTGCTTGATGAACAAAGTAACAAGTCACTAGCTAAGTCTCAGTTTTTTGAGCTCTTTAATATTAAGACACACTCAGAGACAGCTCAGAACATGCTCAGGACCAGTGTTGGTCAAGTTACTTGAAAAAGTAATCAGTAACTAATTACTGATTACTTCCCCCCAAAAGTAATCCCATTACTTTACTGATTACTTATTTTCAAAAGTAATTAGTTACTTAGTTAC